ATTTTGAACACCCTATATCTCTGTTATCATTCCCGCTAGACCCCAAGTGTGATGCATTGATGAAATCAGCTCTTCAGGAAGAATCTAAAAATACAATGAAATACAGGGTGTTCCATTTGGAAAAATCGAGTAGTACTCTGTAGATCATTTGTTCCGAGCGCCCTGTATTTCCTGATGAAACGGGAAAAAAAATTCTGAGAAATCATTTTAGATCATCCTTCAAATTTTTAAATCGGGTCAAAAATAAGTGAGCTAGAGGGGGGGACAATTATGGTGAACCACCCTGTACATGCTTATTTGCCATCGAACTTCACCCAAGCCGCTGACCCAACGTGTTACGTTCGCATTTTAGAGCAATATCTATACCCTGGCCGACCCAGGTTCTGAGGGCACGAGCCGTCACTGCAAAATGTTCAGGTTGTGAATATCTCTGAACAGAATAATTTGAAGTAAAATTCGGTTTCGTTTGAGTGTGATTCAATGCTCTGTTTGGTTGCGAATTCGATTGATTTTGATTCGGATTCGCAGAATCTTGTAAATACCGGATATTATCTTCGTTTCTTATAAAATTCATAGCCTCAAGCATTGATTTAGGGTCTTGTGTGCGTACCATAATTCCATAGGAATTTTTTAATCCTGCCAAAAATACTTGCAACGCTTGCTGATTATACATTTGTTGCTTGAACTTCTTAACACTATTATCACTTTCATGAATAGCCAAATAATTGGATATAGTGTTCATAATTTGTCGATCCTTATCGTGAAATTGATGAGGGCTTTCGTTATTAGACTGCCTCAGATTGTTCAAATCTAGTGACAAACAATACTCATTTCGAGGATCACTGAAATTTGTAATGAGTTCTTTCTTTATTTCATTAATGGTACTACAACAGCTGATGATCACAACTTCTTTTGAGAATTATTCGGATTCGCTACGTCATAAAAGTGTGTTGCTATGCTATCTATACTCTCTAAAAAGAAATTTAGTTCATTGACGTCCCCGTCAAAGTCTGGAATCGTTTCTGCATGAACTTTAGTAAAATTTGCAAGATACATTATAACTTGTTTCTCTACAGTCAAGCTAATCGAATTCAAATTATCTAGTTCTGTATTGATATTTGAAGTATTGGGTTCACCTAATTCCAACTCTAGCTTATCTGCACGATCACGGAAGGATGAGGATTCACTAGAGGAGTCTGACATGCGGAAAGTCAAAGGTCTTACAGTACGATTTTCTTCATTGATGATCGATATGCTTAATCCTGGCATTTGGTTCGCCTCGTCTCTGATGGTGTTCGTTCCAGCACTACACTTCCAAGGTATGGAAAGTATTCACTTTTCCTGATAGTCAATTAACTATTGAAACAGACAAAATTTTCACGATGGATTTTCCTGACTATCCAACCGACTGCGCCAATTGAGTTCCTCAGGATGAGTTTGAAACAAAAAATTGAAATCATATTTATAAAATTATTTGATGGCAATAAATTGCATCTAAATTATGTGAGTGCAATGTCGAGACTGCTGAAGCTACGTGTCAACCCAAATATCGGAGTCGGAGATGAAACAGCTGATGCAGTTCCGATTGCGTCTCGGCTTCATGGAATTGCAGGGGTCGTTGAAATGGTGTTTCTCTTGATACAATTTGTACTTCCTACATAATGTTTACAATAACTTTGCTAAAATGATTCTTTCGCGAACATCACATTCATAATATTGCTGAACGTCCGTTTCAGAAGTTGCTGCGACCATGCAGTGAGATAGCGATAATATCTGATGTAACATTACACATTACATTGAAATACTGCTGTAATATTGTTAATATTGTTGAGATATATTACTTTGCTTAGTGGGTAATAACTTCTTCACTCAACCATTCAAGAGTATGACAATGTATAATAATGATAATAATAATTGTTCTCCGTTGATTAAACCAAATGGCCATCGACCGAGAGACTTCAGCCAGTGAGTAGGCATACAGTATGTCTGAAAAAGTTGGCAACTAATGGAAAACTTTCTCATTATTGATCATTGGACAAAATTAATTCTTCATAAAAAGTTCGGCAAGGACTAACGCCAAAAAACGAATATCAGATATTGAATTTTTTCAGTCGTATACGAGGTATGTCAAAAAATATAACTTTTGCTCAGGAGTAAAATGTACCTTTTGACAACATCGGAAATCATCATATAGAAGTAAAAGAAATAAATATCTGATTACATCTATCTATGAAAAAAATCATGTTTAATTATATTCTACAATTTCTGATCGATTCATACGAAAAACTTTTTTGTTGTTTATTCTACAGAAAGAAGTCATTTTTTCAGTCGTAGGTCAGAAAATTTTGAAGAAATTGTAATACATAATGGAACCTGATTTTCGACATACTTCGAATATCACAGTAAAAAAATTGATATCTGATAATTGCATTTTTGGTTTCGGGCCTTACAGAACATCTTATGAATAATTAATATGTTTTTCCTAAAATTGATAATGAGAAAGTTTTCTATTTATTGCCAACTTTTTAAATATAAGTACTGTATATGTTTATGTCAAGAAATGAACATGAGTACCAAGTGATTCATCATGAAATATTAATCCTATAACTTCGTATTTTCCGAACCGATATTGAAATCGTGAAAACCGTTGAAAATTATTGTTTTAGCGAGTTTGTCAGCGTTATATAAAAATACTAGGGTGTTCAAAACTGATAAATTATTGGGTTATAGTTCATAGTGATCATTCCATTTATATATGGTGATAATGTGATCATTCATTTTGAAAAATGGATCGGAAGCTTCATACAGGTTGTTTCAGTGGGAAATATAAATACTATCAATTTTGCCTATATGTTTTAATGTCTCATAACTTTCCAACCAACCTGTCTATGGCAATTGGTACACTTAATACTCCATCTATCCTGTCGAATTGAATGAGGCATCAACAAGACATATAATCCAGGTCCGGCTCCACATGAAATTTACAAATTCTTTTTGCCCGAAACCAACACCCTATACATTTCAATTTCTCAATTTTGTTACCATATCTGGAAAGAACACCAAACTGTCTATCCAACGATATACTCTTAATTCGTACACAGACGGTTTTTAATACTCGTATTATGTGCTCAAAATATTATTTTTGGTCATTTTTGACGCCAGCGACAACAATGATTATAACTAAATTAAAAGTACGAATACAAATTTTCTATTGATATCTGAGTAAGTCTTCATTTTTCGATAGGCATTTTTTCCCAATCAGGTCATCTCTACTATTTATGGAAGTAGAATGAACTTAGGACTTCAGATGATCACAAATATAGTGATCCACATGATTCAGTCCGGTGATCTTGCAGTACCAATTTACAAATAAATGAACAGGTTGGTTGGAATGTCATGAGACCTAGAAGATATGGGCAAAATTGATTAAAACAACCCGTATCTCGATTATAACATGTCGGAGACCCATATATATGGGTTATTTTAAATCACCTCAGTGACCCCTATCCATATTTGAAGTATTTACCTTTCCCAATGAAACACCCTGTGCATACGGACGTGAAACCTTGCAACAGTGCTACAGTATTCGGCAGCATTCTTTTCAAAAATAATTTAGGTATACTAAAAGCCATCCGGTACCCAGGAAGCACAGAATATTCTATAAATATTCTGACAACGTTCAAACAAACTTATTTCAGAATATTCTTATAGAATGTTCTCAAAATGATCATAGAATATTCTCATTCTGCGAATTCGAATATTTTGGGAATATTGAGAATCGTATCAAAATATATGATAATTATGTTCCTATTCATTTATCAATATTTATAATGTTTGCCCTGACACAACCTATTATTCTCTAGCCTCAATGCTGATTATCCCACTATAATACAGTGTTGTCATCTTGCTATCCATTTTATTCATCAATAAGGTGAACACCCTGTATGTTTTTGGAACGCTTCTTTGAAATATACAAAATGATCGTATGTCTTATAGATCTATCTGAAGGAATCTAGACCCTAATTTTCACCTCACCCTTTACTCCACAAATTTACTTTGACCATTTTCAAAGGGTCCAAAAGTCCTTTTAATAGACCGGCCGGTAGTGACAGATTTTTAGAGGTGATTTCACCCAGTATACCTATTGGAGGGTATCAATATGTAGGCATTTATTTAGATGTTTTAAAATGTTACATGAAAGAATCATCCCGTCGCCCACTCGTAAGATTTCTATAGCAACGAAGACGCTAATCTAGTTAAAATTGTATGAAAAAGTACCACCACGAATGTAATTCGACGTGATTATTTTTTTCACTATTTCGCAAAATGCCTCGCATAAACGAAAATTTTACAGCCACACACTTCGGTTTTGCGTCATTTTTTTTCGAACAGACTGTTAGTCGAACAAAACAGCTTACCAACAACGCAGTCTATGGGCCCCTTTTTGAACGAAGATCCAAACGAAAAAAATTAACGCTGTAATTTGCTACTAACGATTTATCAGTATGATACCAAATGATTGGCTAGAATTGAGCAATGATATTGGTTGAAACAACGAAAACGTCACATGATGCTGAAATATGGAACAACTTGATTCTGATATTAGCGAATATATTTTCTTACCTTCAGAAATATAAGTGTGATGCTATACATTCATGTCTCGATAGGTAACAATGCGAATTACCAGAAAACATCATTATTATGATTACTTCATCACAAAAACAAACAAGATCAAGATCAACTATATTGTTCAATACATTATTATCAAATCTGTTTCGATTTCTCTCGTTTCCCTGTTTCTCTCGTAGCGTTTCCTCTTTTCGCAAAATTCTGAAGAAAAATCGTTCCCTTGTCTCGTCGTGGCGATTCAAATATAACATGAATTAAAAAATGCATAGTGAAACCCGTTATTTTTTAATGAAAATAGTTGAGATTTAATCTTCACCTGAGAAGATTGAATTTCTTAGGCAAACCGTCTCTCACTTAATGCTTCAACTTACAGGATCGATGAAGTAGCATCCTGGTTCAATAGTGAGGAACATATTCTCCTCAAGCAATCTAGCAGTGCGTAGTTTCTTGAGCCCAGGTCTATCTGAACGCTCTGGATAACCTTCCAGATAACCTCCAACATCATGTACATCTAATCCAAGCAAATGACCCAAACCGTGAGGCTGGAATATTTCTGCTAGATCTGCGTCCATCATTTCGTCGATTGAACCTTTCAGCAGACCGCCATTTTTGAGCTCCTCTAGTAATACTCGATTGGCTAAGAGGTGCATATCGGACCAAGATACTCCTGGTTTACCTGCATTGAGAACTGCTAGGTTTGATCTCAGTACCGCTTCATAGATAAACTTCTGGTCTGGCGTGAATTTTCCGTTGACTGGGAAAGTCACAGTTATATCTGCGGCATAACCATAGTAGTTCGCCCCCATGTCGAATAAACTTGAAATAAACAATTATTATTATCATTATATTTCATCTAGAAACTAGGTATTCATATTTTGGACATAGTTCAATAATACAGGGTGGGACAAAATGAGACCGATAACCTTCGTATACGGATTCCTTACTTCCTTCTCAGACAGAGGAATTGACAAATTGGTGTATGTCATTAGTTAGGTTCATTGATACCTAAACTGAAAATAATGCACAGAGGAAAATTGTGCTATTAGAGTTTTCGCTGAGATATTTCTTGCTACCATTACAAGTTATTCTATTACCATTACACATTTTCGAATAGAAGCAGCACATTGAAATCTTATGACAGCAATAACGACTACCAATAATACAACTGTCAGCCTGCCACGAGAATAATATTTGACGTACCTACTTGAGATTATTCAGTGCCTACTTATCGTTATTCGATATTTTGCTGATTTTTCCCCTCTATAAGCATTTGGCAGACATCTTGCGTCCCAAAGGCATGTTCAATCATTCCCAGTTGGGCAAACTCATGTACAGGACGACAGTCTCGACGACACGACACAACACGTATACTTTCTCTCTTCAATCCAATTCAGTATTTAGAATCTGAATCTGAATCAAAATATAGAATGCAAGCATTCTTGAACAAGTGAAAAAATCTTCAGTATCCTTTTCAGTGCTTCCGTTGATCTGAGTGCTTTAGTTATTACCAGGATTGATGCAATAATAAAAGTGAGTTCTTCAAGGTATTTTGACTGAAATATTAATATTTTACATTCAACATTTCCTCTTTTTTGTTCCAATGAAACTTTAAAATTGTCAAAAATTTTTGTCTCCTGCTATTTTTTCGTGTATTGCTTCGATTTCGAGCAAAACGGGCAATACCACACCTTGGCATATCTCTAAAGTCCAGAAGAAAAAATGAAAATGCTGAGATATCATTCAAAAATGTATTGCACATTATTATTCATGAAAACAAAAAAGATATGAAATTCAATACTATCTCTGAAATGTATAAGATCTTCAAATTTTGTGAGAAATATTGTTTCAAGATTGACTCATTTTAAAAAACTTGGACACCCTATACTTCGGAAACGAAGCATTTTCGGGCCTATGTTCATATGAACTGTTTTTATATATTTTGTTGAGAGGAATCTCCCCTAGGCTTTTGTCACCACAACTCTGAAACATCCTGTATGGGTGTATGGCTTGAGATAATATTGAGTAGAGAACCAATTTGCTGCGTGTCATAATCGCATAACGCTAATTTTTCATGAGATATCAAAAACATACGGGTGAGGGGTGAGTCAGAAGTAGATCGACAGTTTTACTTCTTTTTCCACACTTCATTTCTGAAGAGTTTATATCGAGTTATATCTCAAAAAGCAACCTGTTCGAGATAATAGTTGTTGAATATGTGAAGAGAATTGAGCATTTCATTTTTTTTTTCTTGGAAACGTAGCAAAATATTACCTCAAGACATATCTTTAGTTTTTGGCAATATCTTAGAAACCTCAGGGATGTGGAATCTCATTACTTTTAGGTTAAGTATCAGTAATCCTGAATGATGTCACACTGTGATTTGACAATTATTCATCTATCTAAGTGAAACTGTGAAGGAAAATGTCGCAAAATACGACCGTAACTACGCCACTGGTTGACATAATTCAGAAATGAGAACTCAAAGTAATTGACATGAGCATTCTGAAATAGTATACCAAAGGACACCGCACGTTTTATAGGGAAAATTGGCCTCCTGTCGAATTGGCTGAATTTTTGATATGTTAAGTAAGGTTCAAGACATTCTGAACAAAATGTCCAAATACCAAACCGTTCTAATGGCTAGTTTTGCTAGAGGCCGCTGAAGTCTCAATCTTCATTTCTTTTCTCCTTATGAATGATGCTCTTTGAGCCATTATTATATTTCATTTTGATAGGATAAGTCACTACTAGAAGTATTCATCAATATTGTTGCTACTGGTCAACAATTATACAATGTGTTCTAGTTATTATTGTTCAAGATAATAATGATATTCATTAATTTCATAGGAAAGGATATTGAGAAATGAGAAATCGAGAAAAGTCCTATTTCAATTACAAAATACGTTCATTCGAATTCCATGTTCACCCTTTGTATACAGAGAAGATCAACCCGTTCCATATAACATCAGTTGAATGATATTCGAATCAAAAAAATATTTCAGTATTCAATATTAATGTGATAATGTTTTTCTAGTATTAATTTCCTAGGTTTGAGAAGGAATGTTATTTTGCGTTTTCCCTCCTAAAATAGTTCGTATATATAGCATCAATAAATCAGCACAAGTAACAAAGTTCACAAACTATTCAATATCTGCGATCCTGCCTCATCAAATTAGGATGATCAATTGATGATTTTTGAAAGAATATTTTCGAGGGCGTGATATCTAAAATATATTGACATGCATTTGAAAAATGTACTGGGTATAATCAGAATTTTTTGACAAAGGTTACAAGAAATATTCATCTTAAGATGCAAATGAATACTGATATTACTGATAATATCTGCTACTGTTATAGAAAGAGTTAATAACGTTGTATATCTCCTCATTATATACTAGGTGAACATTAAATAATAATAATAATTAAATTATTGGATAGTATCATATTTTATCTCCCCCATAATTGCTGGAACACACTGTATAATTCTTGACCAACAGCAAGAATGTTGAAGAAAACTTCTTGTAGTTACCCATCCCATCAAAAATTAATATAATAACGCAAATTGAAAAATTTATCAGGAGAAAAAAAACAACATTGAGACTTCAGCGGCCTCTAGCGCCAAAACTATCCATTAGAACAATTTGGTATTCGGACATTTTGTTCAGAATGGCTGGGACTATAACATAACAAAAATTCAGCCAATTCGACAGGAGGCCAATTTTTCCTATAAAACGTGCGGTGTCCTTTGATTGTTTTTTCTATAAGGGTTCCAAGAAATGAATATAAATCTTGATTTTTCTCGTATTTTTGACACCATACATTGATAGGAACATCAGAATGAGGTTAAGAATCCGACTACGATTTTTGTCGGTCTTATTCCGACTCATCCTCTATATAGCATGATTTTACCTGGAGAGACTTGGCATATACATAGTGTTGTCGAAAGTGTTTTGATGATCAAAGTGGATTTGATGATCTAAGGGCATAGGTACCGAAATGTTGAGGTAGCAGTGCTCTCGTTTGCAATTGTAAAAAAGGAAAAGGACGAAGAAAGATAGGGTTAAGGCGAGGTTAGGAAGAGTGAGGTTGTCGTTACCACAGCATCTGGAGCGATATTTTTTCGATTGATGATAATTAACAAGTTTTTATCAAACTATATTAAAAGTTGAAACATTAATCACTAGCTGGTCGACTTCGCTAGTTGGCGCCCAAACCAAATAGTTAGTTCCTGATTAATACTTCTGTGAAAGTAGATTTTCAGCTATCGAATCATATATCATTGGGAGTAGCGAATATCGGAAGCATCTCAACGAAAAATTGAAAATAAATTAGTTGAACATTTCTGATAGGAATGACTTTTTTTCGTAATTGCTTAGGAGTTGTTGAAACATTGATCACTAGCTGGTCGACTTCGCTAGTTGGCGCTCAAACCAAATAGTTAATTCCTGATCAATACTTCTGTGTAAGTAGATTTTCAGCTATCGAATCATATATCATTGGGAGTAGCGAATATCGGAAGCATCTCAACGAAAAATTGAAAATGAGTTAGTTGAACATTTCTGATAGGAATGACTTTTTTTCGTAATTGCTTAGGAGTTAGATAGGTTGCCGCATACCTTTCCAAGGTCACAATTCTATGGTCGCAATAGACGCATGATTGTGACATCACCGTGCGTTTCCCTCTGCTTCACCAATGAGATTCTTTCGACTTTCACGCGCGAGTCTTGTTTTCAAGTATATTTTTTTGAATCATATTTATCATTTTGAGTGTGAAAAGAGATCTAATTAATCGAATACAATATTAATTATTGCGACAAGATTGTGAGTGTGCAATGAAAAAGAATAATTATCAGAGACATCAAAATTGAATGTGAATCCATTTGATGAGAAATGTATAATCTATAAACAATTTGTGCTAAAAACGAAAAATCCATTCCAGATGCCATATGGGACAATTTGTAATATGGCTGGCTGAGATATGTGAAGAATTGGTAAGGTAGTGTAACAAAAAAACATTTTCGGTTGAGTACTAAAGTATTTGTAGTAGGCATTTCCTAGAGGACTATCATAGCATTCGAATGCGTTAGCCGTTTGGTGACCGGTGCAGGAGAAGATTAAAAGAAGATTAAACTGTTTCAATCCTCTCCGGAAGATGCTGACATAGTTAGCAAAAAACGTGTCGAGGTGTGAAAAATCGGTTTGATAAGTGGTAAAACAGTGTGTAGTGTATTATCGTGCCAAAGGTTCCAGTCTTCGATATATCCATTCGACCAGAAAAAAAAACATGTTTAATCCTGAAAGGAAAATAAGAATATGAACAATAAAAACAAGAAGTTCATTATTGGTCTAACCTTTTCACAACAATGAATTGGAGATGTAGTTTTGATAAAAACTGTTTTTCGCAAAGAAATAATTGTGAGTGAAATAATCAAATGCAAGAACAATTAAATAACATCAAGAACCATATAAACTATCAACAAACCCAGGAGAAAAGACAACAAAGCGCTACTGGGTGCTAATGAGCTAGAGCTTTGCAGTATTAATTTCAAAAACACAAAATTGAAGACAGATTCGCAATCCAACTTTTCTGTTTGTAAACAAGGCAAGCTATTGGCTGCTATGACAGTTGACAAGTAAACGGGCCAATTAAATTGCGAAGGACGTGAACCACAGTACGTATGAACACTGAAAACTACAGCCATGAATGATCCAAGGTGCAAATATGACATATAATATGATGATTAGCTGAGTAAACATGATAACAAAAATGTATTGTTGTTTGCATACGAATATGGTCGGATGGTCTTTAATCATTG